TTGGCTATTGGTTTTTCACAGACAGCCTTAATCAGTTTAAGATAAAGACCTTCTATTCCAATTTTCTGTAGGGTTTTTTTTTTTATCATGAATGGGTGCTGGATTTTGTCGAATGCTTTTTCTGTATCTATTGAGATGATCATATGGTTTTTGTCCTTGACTCTGTTAATATAATGTATTACATTTATTGATTTACATATGTTGAACCATCCTTGCATCCCTGGCATATATCTGACTTGGTCAGGGTGTATGATCTTCTTGATGGCCCTGTGTATTCTGTTTGCCAGTATCTTGTTGAGGATTTTTGCATCTATGTTCCTTAGGGAGATTGGCCTGTAGTTCTCTTTTTGGGTTGGGTCTCCAAATGTGTCTATTCTTGCATTAAATATTAAGTCCAAAAGGTGACAAACACTTCTACTTCTCAAAGGAAAAGACCAGTCTTACAGGATGGTCAGTTTTTGCCACTCTTGGATTATTTATCCCCTTTGTCTAGTGTATAAAATAGAAAATATGGAATGTTTATGAAAAAGGTTAGAATATTCCCAGGGGAGAGATTTAGTGCTTCCTTAAACCAAGTGCACAGGGAATTTAAATATTTCCTGGAATTAGCCTGAACTGGTGGTTTCCAGCAATGGACAATGCTGCCCTCTAGGGGATATTTTTATTGCCGCTCCTGGGAATAAGTCTCAGGAGTAGAAGCCAGGAAAGGACTAGTAGACATCTACAGTGCCCAGAACAGGCCCCCACTACAGAGTCATCTGGCTCACAATGGTGTTTTTGTGGAAGGAGAGAAAGGTGGGGCTCTCACTGAAGTACAGACACAGGCTGGATGGTCCTTGAGGCAGAAGAAGAAGTGGCTGGAGCTGGAATGGAGGAAGAAGGATGTTTGTCTGCTGTCAGCTAAAGTGAGATGTGGAAGTAGCTAGGCTTGTTTATTTTGAAAGAGGCTCTGGTATGAGGATCTGCCCAGCATGGGTGAGGGCTTTCCAGAGGATGCATAAAAGCACCACGAAGAGAGCTGACATTCAACACCAGTTACACCCAACAGCAGGTTACAGTGGCAGTCTGATAAGGCTCTCTGCTCCCTCCTCTCCTTCCTTCCCTCTCCATACAGCTGTGTGTGAAAGCGGGGAGCTAGAAGGTTAGGCAAGTAAATGGGAGCAAACCCACCTCCACTTCCTTCCCCCGTGGGCCAGTGAGCCTGAGATACATCTTGAGTGGTAGATGGATAAGCTTTAAATCAAGAGACTGAATTACGGTTTAGATTTCTGGGCTTGTTTGTTTCTGAAAACGTCTATTGTAGAAAAGTAGCTGAAGAAAGTTGAGTCTGGGAAATTTCATCGAGGGGATAATGAAGATGGGAAAGAGTAGGATTGAAAAGGTATTGGAAAGAAATCATCCAGGCACATTTTGTTAGCACCCTGTCCAGTCCAGTCACAGGCATATTGTCTCATTTAATCCTTGCAACAGACATGAAGAAACCATGGTCCCATCTTATCAGTGAGGACCCTGAGACATGGAATAGACATATAATCAGGTCAAGGTCACGGAGCTAATGAGTATTGGTGGCTAGATTTGAACCTATGTAGGCTGAGGCCAGAGCTGAAGCAAGCTTCTGTCCTCCATCTTTCAACTGGCACCAGCTGGCACCAAAGTTGGCCTCTGAGGGTGCCTGAAAGAATTCCTCTTTCCCCTGGATCTTCTCTTGTTAGGAATTCTCAAGTATTCATCTTATCAGGGCAGTCCTTTTCTCATCCACTGGAACATCTCCAGAGTCAGAGCCAGTCCACTAGTAATGGACGGAATCGCTTCATTTGTTTATTTGTAGAGTCAGGGGGTAACTCCTTTGAAGGGAAGGGCAGGATCTCAGATCAAAATTGTACCCATGCCACAGACACTGGCATCCACAGGGCTTGATGAGAGCAGTAGCCTGGCTATGAACACCCCTACTACCTTGTGATGGACAAGTGTGTAGTGTCTGTTCTTCTCTGCTCTGGTCCCTGAGGGACAGCCAGATGCTCATGCCCCATCCTTGCACACCATATGAAAATGGCAAATTGTGCAGAAGTGCTTTTGTGAAGTGCTTGAAACCAGGAAGGTGAAGCTGCTGAGAAAAGATGAAGTAACCTACAGAGCCTTCTGTATTTATCTACATTCACCTGTTTTGGCAGAGTCTTCTGAGAGGGTAATTCAGGACAGTCCTGCACTCTGAATGCAGGTCCTGCTGAGCATATTATTCTTCAATTTAAGTAATCCACCAGCTCAGAGCAGAATCCCCCACCTGACAAGAGAGGCTTGGAAACATGATGGCCAGTGTTTCTGAAGCACAATTCTTTGAATTTGAATTCTAGGCTTCTGAATTCAGGTTTTCTAAACCTCAAATAATTGTGAAATTTAGATTAAATGGTATTTTAAATCTGCAGGGTTGTAAAACCAGAAGCATTGGTTTTCTTTTTTCTTTTTAAATAAATTAACTGGCTGCACCTAAGGGAAAAACAGAAAACAAAAATTCAAAAGAAATGTTTCTGGGGATAGTTGTGGAATCAGCTCCTCTCCCGGGGGTGGAAGACTCTTCCCCTGCCCACAGAGCCTGCAAACCAGAGGTCAGGACCTCAAAGTGAAAGCTCTTTTCTTCTGAATTTTAATGTCATTACATTTACCTTAGCCATTTTGAATGAACATTTGGCAAAAAAGATACCAGCATCTTCTTCTTGGCTCACTTTATCTATTGTGCACATGCATGATTTCATTATAATTACCTTCAAGGGTTCTTGAGATGTTCCCAGCTAATTTTTCCTGTACCCAATGCTTAAAATCTATGTTAACTGTCTATGGTGGATGGATGCATTTTAGTTCTTTCAAGTTCTTTTTTTCCCTGGCAGTTAGAGTTAGGATGAACCTCCCTTCTCACACCTGTGGAGAACACATATGGCAGCCGCTACCCTTTTTTGCTGCTTCTAACTTGGCCATCTAGGAAGTTAGATATTACTTTGTTGTAACTGTGTATAAAGTAAAAGCTAATTGGCCAAAAAAGTAAGAAATACATTTTCTCTTGGCTTAAAGTTCTCCAGGTTTAATAAAATGATTTTTTTTATTTGATATGATCTTTGGCAGCTCAGAAACTTTTATAATTTTTTCTGGATTCTCCACTGGTTTATGGAACAATAGATAGGTTAACTATTAGTCTAGTGTGGTGCCACATGTCTGTAATTCCAGCACTCAAGGAAGCTGAGACAGGAAGATTGCAAATTCAAGCCCAGCCTGGACAACTTAGTGACTTAGCAAGACCCTGTCTCAAAATAAAAAATAAAAAAGGGCCAGGGATGTTGCTCAGTGCGATTCTCCAGCCCCAAGGTCAACTCTTTGTAACCTCAAAATTGTATTTAAATAATTTTCATAAGATCTCTGAGTTCTTTTTTCTAATTTTTAAAATAACTTTATTATTAAACACACACATACAAAAAATTAAAACCATTCAAAGAAGAACAATGCAAGGGGAAAAAACCTACAATAATATTCAAATACAGTAGAACCCAACCAAAACAAAAATGAAAAGTACTTAAACATTTTTCCATATAACTTAAAAAAGCATCTCAAAAACCAACATCTGAGTTCTTTTTTAAAGAGAGCTTTTAATTAATGGACCAGTCAGTACTGCTTGAGTTGCTTTGCTCTATTCAGAATCCAGTGCCAAGGGAGATGAGGATTTAAAAGAGGGACAATATTTTGTTTCCCTGCCTGCCCCTAGTCACTCTCCATGTCTGTTCCTAATCACTCTCCCAGCCACCCTCCTCCAAGAGGAGCCAGTATCCTAAATCCTAATAAATCCTAAGTCTCTTTCTCTCTCTCAGCTGTTTTTGTACTTCATATTGGTGGGACCATGTAGGCTGTTCTCTTTTCTGCTTGGCTGTGCAAAACATCATATGCAAGTAGTTCTAGATTATCATTCCCCTTGCTACACGGTTTGGTAAATTGAGTTTATAGCAATTTATTTTTCCATTACTCTTCATGGGCATTGGGTATTTTCAGCTTTTGGTTATTATAATCACTTCTAGTATTCCTAATCTAATATTTTGGTAAAACATGTATGTATTCCTAGTGGATCTATAAGTATATACATGAAGACATATATATATATACACACACACACACACACACGTATATATACATATATATATATACATACACTCACATGTATATATATATATATACATATATATATATATATATATATTTTATCCTTGGGAATGGAGCTGTTGAGCCATAGATAATGCAAATATTCAGCTTTGCTAGAAAATGTCCGACAGTATTCCTAAGTGGTTTTTACCAATGCCTCTCTATCTTTTATTATTATGATTAAGTAGTGATTATTAATAATGAATACTTTTTCCTATTGTGACTCCGACAATCACCATTCATTCTTGGAATATTATGAGCTGGAGGTTTTGCTAAGCATGACATGTATTATAATTCAGTTTCCACAGCAACCTCATGAAGTCTTGCTTGACAGGTTCAGGCTCTTTTTGTAGTTGAGGGAGACTAAAGGGGACAGAGATTCAGCAATATGACATGAAAATCTTGCCGAGCACACAAGGCCAGCAAACTGTATGGGTAAGATTAAAACCACAGCTCTTTAATCCTATAAACTATGTTTATAATCACTATGCTTTGATTATACTAAAAATAACTTACTTGGGAAATCATTTACCTTCAAAGAAGGATTTTATTCTGTTTATGTTAAAAATGAAATATTAAGTAAAATATGGATGAATGCAGATAAGAATAAAACAGTTAAATATTTACATAATAAGTGAACCTTCCAGGAATGTTTACTTTCAAACATTTCTGGTTAAATGTAACACATTTTCTTCAAAAATTCTGTTCTTTTCTCAGGGGTCCTATTCAGTTCACTTTATGCCATTTGTAATTTACACTGAATTAAAATGTTTTCCCTCTTTTAGTTTGAGTGCTTGGACTAGAAACGTGTCTATGACGTTCTTATCATCAGGCCCTCTTCACTGTCATGGAAATTTTAAGAGGTAGGTGTTTCCCTGTTCAATGGCCTTTGTCTCTGTCACCACCCTCTGTCCTGACAGTAATAGCTGCTGCTTGAATTTGTGAGAGCCTTTCAAGTAAGGAGAGCCAAGAATTTACTATCTATAAATAACTATTCCTGTCCCATTTTCCCTTACCTGGAACAGGTAAGAAAATAGCACCACATTATTCACCACTAGAGATGAGATGGATACTGATGTGTCCTGGAATTCCTGCTGCTTCAGGAGTCTTGTCAACCCCATGAGACAGCCCTTCTTGTCTCTACCATAGGCTCGTTTATACCCCTGACACCCATCTCCTGGTATAGACTCTCACAAATAGTAAATATCAAAGACATATTTGAATATTAGAGAGTAGAGTTTGATTGGGTAGATTCTCTATGTACTTTGGCTATCTTGGTCATCCATTGGACCTAACAAAGGCTTCTCTGATGACCCAGAGTAAATCATTCTGAAATGTGTGGAGGAATGGTATTTCTAGAGGGATGAGAAGCTGCTATGAAAATAGGAATCCATGGCTGAAAAATCTCACAAAATTTGTGTTGAAGTTAAACTCTTTCTGCAGTACTTTTCTAGGCATTCAAGAAGCATTTTCTGAATGTCTGGGAGACACCATATTACTTGTTTCTTAAACTCATATGGCCTCTAAATCTGGCTAGTTACACCATGTCCTGGAGGACTACTGTTTAATGTAGCATATTTTTGGAAAATTCAACTTACTGGAGAAATCAACCTGCAGAGACAAATCTGTATTTGTCAGGTTTCAATGTGAATGCTCTGGAAAGGACCTGGTGAGGGAGGCAGGAAACTCTGCATTACAGTGTCCAATCACTCAACTTACGAGGGCTTCAGGCTCTTCCTGTACATGAGAGAAGAGAAACTTGATCCTAGTGATTTCTGAAACATCTCTTGATTCCAATAGTCTGAAGAGGCAAGACAAATCCTCTATCCATTGACATGGAGCCAAACATCATCTCCACCCCCTAAACATGGTCCAGGGTCAGATGCTCCTTGTTGTCCATGGAAACAAAAGTCAGCCTCCCCAAGGTGAAGAGGAGTGATTGTCACAGATGCCTCTTCCCACTTTGGCAGGAGATGGGGAACATCTGAGACAAGAACACACCTTGCCAATTGTAGGACCTCATATGGGTGGTGAAATGACTCTTCTCCTTCCAGCAATTCCAGAAAAGCTGCCAAAGAGATAGGACAGATCAGAGCAACACAACCAGCTTCTTTCTTCTCACACAGCGTAGTTGTTTTTTTCTAATTATAAATACAGTTCTTTCTCTTACAGCCTTGTCTTCTTATTTGGAGTTTCTCCTATATGTGCATCATTGCATACAATTATGTAAGTTGTTCCCTGCATAAGGGCATTGCACAGAGAAGGTGAGAGGGGCCTTAAAGCCAATTTGTGCTTGATTTGCATAATAGTTAAAGGGTGTGGGACTGTGTCCACCTAAGGAGGGGTCACCTCTCTTGATTTACAGAAAGGTGCTGTGTAGGCCTGCTGTGGTTTGTTCAGTATTAGTAATATTTTCAGAAAAAATGAAAGCCTCATCAGTCACCAATATCACTTATTATTATCATTGCTGATACTGACACTATCAATTTAGGATACTTTGCTCAGAAAAGGACCCTAAGCAAACTTAGGCTAATTAGAAGTAGGTGGATTTGAGGAGCAAATAAGCTGATGAGAAGAGTAGGCCATGCTTAGAAGGACAAACATAGTGTGTGGATGGGGACAGCCCTAGAAGAAACTCTGGACCCACCCTGAGCACTGATAACAGCAGAATATGTTGCAATGAACATCCTGTGTGCTGTGATGACAAGTTGAGATCTGACTTATCTCCTTGGTTTTTACCCTTGCATCTGCCTTAATCAACCTGTGTTCCAAAGGTTGTCATTGTCATTTCTTATTCCATTATTCCTTAGAGAGAACATATGCATAAAGGGAGTTTTATGCCTAAGAACCAAAGCTGGAATGGTAGAAGAAATGGTGTATTGCACCTAAATAAAGAGGTCTTATCTTTGTCAAGAACTGGTCATGAGTGCTAAATTTGTTCAACCACTAATGGCAGGATGTGGGAAGTTGGGATGAGTTATTTCTCACTGCCCTTAATACTTCTTTGCTGACTTAGGGGAAAGTAGGAACTTGATGGGCGTAATGAGGTCAGTGGTTTTCCTTGTAGAGAACAGGTTTTTCCATCCTTGGGGAGGCATCATTGCAACACCTTTGGCAGAAGAGTCAGCCTGCCTGAGCTGGTGCACATGAGACCATCTTGAATGTCTTTTTCTTTGTCACCAAAATTCAGCCTAGTGAGAACTTGATCACCAAGGGTAGAGTTATCATAGGCAGTCAGTGAGACTTACAGTACTGTATTCAATAATTTTAAGCACATCATGTTCAATAATGAATTATTTCTTCTCTTCATGCATTGTATCAGGCATCTAAAAGGTAGATGTCTTAACACCTAACTATAAACTACTGAACTAGACTATCATTTCCTAACTGCCTTTTGTCCATGAGGTTACCTACAAAGTTCTCACCAATGCAATTATACATTAAACCACTGAATAAACATTTATTGTGTTCGACACTGGTCAAAGTGTGGGGAGGAGACATAGGAGGCCATGACACAGAGGCCATGCTCATGTCATAGAAGATGAGCGTCAATTACTTCTGTGATGGGGGTCTTAGAGAGTGTGTGGGAACAGAGAGGGAGGACTCCTGATGGAGAAACCTCAAAGGTTTGAGCTGAGTCTGAAGGGACCAGGAAACAGAAGGCAGGTGAAGAAACTGAGGGCGTGAAAAACATATGCAGGACCACAGGGAATGGATGGGATTAGGCATGGGTGTCAGGTGGAAGTGTGGGAAGGACTCCCGAGAAGAGACTGCAGAGGGGGGACAGTGGGCACAGGGAGGGCTGACTATAATATCCCATGGAGCTTTAAATTCATCCTGAAGACAAGTGAGAGCAAGCAAACAACTCACAGATGTACCTTCCGTACATTTTATGCTGAAGGAGTAGGGTTTTTCCGTTTTAATTTTCACCTCATCATGGATCAATACCTACATAAAACAAAAGAAATGAGTTCCTAGGAAAATAAAATAAAAATCCAAGACACTCACTCAATAACCAAACCAAATAAAAACAACAAAATAGCCAATTTAATAAAAGGGCAATAAACCAAAATTGGCATTTCTCAAAAAAAAAAAAAAAAGGACATTCAAATGGCCAAGAGGTACACGAAAAAATGCTCAACATCACTAATTCTCAGAAAACTGCAAATCAAAACCACAAGGAGATATCATTTAAATCCAGAATAGCTAATATCAAAAAGACTAAAAATAACAAATGCTAGTGAGAATGTGGAGAAAAGGGAACCCTTACACACTGTTGCTGAAAAAGTAAATTAGGATAACCATTGTGGAAAATAGTATGGAAGTTCCTCAAAAATTAAAAATACAGCTACTACATGATTCAGAAATCTTACTACTAGGTATATAGCCAAAGGAAATTAAATCAGTATGTCAGAGAGATGTTGACATGCCCATGCTCATCGCAGCACTATTCACAATAACCGAGAAATGGAGGCAACCCAAGGTTCCATCGACTGATTAATGGATAAAGAAAATGTGCTATATATACATGATGGGAGGCTCTTCAGCCACAAAGAATGAAACCTTGTTATTTGCAGCAATGTGGATAGACTTGGAGATTATAATGCTAAGTGAAATAAGTTGGGCACAGAAAGACAAGTACTGCATGATTTCACTTGTGTGGAATCTAAACATGTTTGATTTCATAAAGTTTGAAAGTATAATTGTGGTTACCAGAGCCAGGGACAGAAGATGGGAAGAGAGGGAATGTGAAAAGATTGATCAATGGATTCTAAGTAATAGATAGGAGCAAGAAGCACTGGGGTACTATTGCACATACTGAGTATTTTGATGGGGGTTATGTTGAACCTATATATAATTTTTGGTAATTTGGCGATTTTGACAATGTGAATTCTGCCTATCCAAGAACAGGGGATGTCTTTCCATTTTCTTTCTTTCTTTCTTGGTACCAGAGATCGAACTTGGGACCTTGCGCTTGCGAGGCAGCCAGCGGAACCACTGAGCTAAATCTCTGGCCCTTGTCTTTCCGTTATCTAATGTCCTCTACAATCTCTCTCCTCAGAACCATACAGTTTTCATTATAGAGGTGTTTCACTTCCTTGGTTAGGTTAATTCCAAGGTAGTTTTTTTTTTAGGCTCCTATGAATGAGACTGTTTCCCAGATTTCTTTCTTAGTGGATTCATTCTTGCTGCATAGAAACACTATGTTTATTAGTTTTAAGATTCTCCTGGTAGAGTTTTTTGGATTCTCTATATAAAGCATCACATCATCTGGAAATAAGGATATTTTGACTTCTGCATTTCCTATTTGAATCCCTTTTATTTCCTGTGTTATCTATTCTGGCTAAAGTTTTGAGTACTGTATTTAACAGGAGTGTTGATAGTGGACACCCTTGTCTTCTTCCTGATTTTAGTGGGAATGTTTTCAGTTTGTCCCCATTTACTATGATGTTGGAAGTGGGTTTGTCATAAATGGTTTTGATCACTTTAAGGTAAAGTTCTTCTATAAAAATCCTTGTCAAGGTTTTTATCATGAATTGATGTTGGATTTTGTCAAAGGCTTATTCTGCACCTATTGAGATGATCATTTAATTTTTACCCTTAGTACTGTTTATATGGTATATTACATTTAATAATTTATATATGTTGAACCATCCTTACATCCCAGGGTGAAACTATTTTTTTAATGATTTGATGTATGGTATTTAAAATAATTTGTTGTATTCTATTTGCAAGTACCTTGGGGATTTTTGCATCAATGTTATTAAGAAAATTGCTCTGTAGTTTTCTTTTTGTTAGGTCTTTTTCTGGTTTTGGTATCAATGCTACCTTCATAGAATGAATTTGGCAGTGCTCTTTCCATTTCTTTTTTTTCTTATTTTTAAATTTTATTTTATTGGTACATTTTAGGTATACAATATAATGACATTCATCATTGGAAAATTGCACCTTTACATAATCTTTCTTGGTT